TTTTCGAAGGACAGATAAGTCAAAGATTTTTCACCTTGATCGACCAGAAGTATACGCTGAAAAATCAGCTGAATATATGAAGAAAACGAACGCGTATGAGGAAATCACCTCAAACCCCATTCAAAAATTGATAGACGATACAGACAGTATACTCCGATCATTTGTAACCCAAAAGAGAATCACACTCCAACAGTATGAGTTGTTAAAACCACCTAGAGAAGATTCAGAACTATCTCATCTTTACTACAACCCAAAAGATCATAAAATTGGTGACCCGCTTAGACCAATAGTGAGCGGAATGAAATCACCCACGGCTAAAATTTCCTCCTTTCTAGATCAAGCACTACGGCCCATTTTCAATCAGGAAACAACTCATTACACACTTGAAAACTCGCTTAAGTTCATAGATAAGTTAGATAGCTACGTAGTCACAACAGAAGCTAAGCAGTTTACTTTTGACGTAACTGATCTATACACAATGATCCCCCAGGACGAATCTGTAAGTGCTGTTGCGGCTATGCTAAAGAGGACAAATAACAAACAAGTCAAAGGAATGTCGATTGACACGATAACTCGCTAATTTATGTTTGTTTCTAGTACTTTAAAGTATGCTCTTTCTTTTGAGGTGAAGCCCTTCAGAAAATAAAACAAAGAAAAAATTTAAAAATCCGGCCCTTTTACGTCATTACTCTAACTTCATTTTATATTTTAAAAGCAGCCAACGCTCTCCAGCTGTTTTCTGAGGCAGATGTCTTGTCTGTCGGACGGTAGATGTCTCTTTCTGATCCTTGTTGAACCGACATCTCCTAACCGATGAGAGATAGAGAAGAAGCGGAAAGCAAGGAGTTTTCGTTGTTTCTTGCTTGAATACTTCTACGGAATACCGGATTACAGTGTGTTTTTTTATTTTCTCGTTTTGGTGAGACAAGTCACGTAGAAAGGATGTGTCGCAGTTCGCCAATGTTCGCCAGTAGACATTCGCCAATAGGCGAATGTCCAAAAGAGTTGGCGAATGTCAATGAGACATTCGCCACGAGACATTCGCCAATCGACCAATAAGCGAATGTCAAGGGGACGGACATTCACCATAATTGGCGAATGTTGTGCGGACACTCTCACTCACACTCTCACACACACATATACTGAGGACAGGTACTGGCGACTGTCGCCGAGACATTCGCCATAATTGGCGAATGTCTATTGGCGAAAGTTGAATTGGCGAAACGCGACTTTACCCGTAGAAATGACCGTTCCGATTAAGGTCAGAAATCCATATGTTTCCACTGTGTATTCATATGTCTCAAAGAACGATGACTCTTACCTGTTGTAACAGTCATAGGCTATACCAATAATGTTTTTGTAGCAGCTTCTGTTTTGTTTTGTTTTGTTTCTAAAACGGAAAACAAAAAGGTAAGCGAAGAAAAGGTAAATCTACTAGCAGTAACTGTGCTACTCACATTTGGGTTTGGTTCTAGCCATATTCTATTAAAAAAATAAAAAAAGTATATTCACACAAAGGTAGTATTTTTTGTTTTCTCGACGATGCAGCCATTCAAATAGAACATAATCTTCGTTTTTTATGATGTTAGCTTCTTTATGTTATGTACTAGAGAACTGCGGAACGTCTCATTTTGTGAAACAAAATTTGATCTCTGATAATAGAAGTGAGAAAGAATTTTACTTCTCCTTTTCACTGGTGTTTGAGCACTTTAAGATTTGCACCGGAGAAATGCGACTGAAATACGATGTCAATTAAAATTAAAATAAATGGATTATACTCAGCTTTTCATAAACACAGCTTTTCCATGCAGTGGATGATCCTACAATTTTTCAACAGTTCTGTACAAGTAGAACAAAAGATTATGAAAAACTCTAAGACCTCTTAGTCTGTTAAGCAAACTGTAGAACTTATAATGCTGTATCTGTGAAGAATATAAGAATATTTTGTAGAGCATCCAGAGAGTGCGCATATACCCAGAGGCCTGAATTTTGGGGGGGTGTGTACCTCTCCAAAAATTTAAAAGAATAGTAACAAGGTAATTACTGAGTAACTATGCAAAAAACAGAGTTTACACCACCTCGAACGTGAAATTTAAAATAAAGTTTACACTATCTCGAACAAAAACTTTCGTTACACAAATATATTTCGCACATTAAACAAAACCACTATTTAAGGTTTAATTTAGTAAAAAATATCCTATCAACGTGAGAAAGTATTTTTGCGTCACCCGTTTTATATGAAGTAACAATGTGATAATCCGTAACCGTAACATTCGTTTCTTTCTTTCTTTGAAACAGAAAGGGTAAAATATTGTTTTTGTCTAGTAAACGAACAGTTCCAGGAGTCTTCTTTCTATCACAAAGTTCTTGAAAGCAGGAGAAAAGAAGAAATTGCTTGCTTGAAATAAGGCAAGTATCAATCACAGCATTTATATAGCCATTTTCTTTATATAAAAGGAACAAAAAATGTATAATGAGCAAAAGAATCTCGTGCGTTCTGTACATCGATGACTCATAAACGGTCAAAGTGAAAAAAATTGATATTTATTCTTTTTCATTTCACGTTTGTTGCTAGAAGCCTACTTTTAATTTCAATTTCGTTATGGCGTCAGCTACAATGGAATGTGATTTTTTTTCAATATTACCAAATGAAGTTTTGTGTCTAATATTTTACCACATACGTCCATTTCAGCAATTATTATCAGTCACTTCAGTTATTTGCCGCCGTTGGCGTCAGATTATATTTAATGAACAATTTACAAACGAATATTACAAAATCAAGTATCGTCAATTAAACTTAATTGGTTGGTGGAATTTTAATAATTCAGAATCAGTTGGATATGATTCAAGTGGACTCATTGGAAGAAAATATACAATTAATGGCACCCCTTGGATAGATCAATGTTTTCTCGGTAATTGTGCAGTATTCGATGGGCATTCGTCAATACAAGTACCGGTTATGAATTATCAACAATATCAAATTGAGTTTTATTCAATATCACTATGGGTGAACTTTGATTCAATAGATTATGTTGGGCGGAATGTATTTCTAGCTGCTTGGCAAGATGATTTGGATAAAAACTGGATACATCTAGGTATATTTCATCTTAAATTAGAAATTGAACTAAAATGTGTCTAAATACAAGCGTTTGTCTGAAAATATTTCTTATAAAGACCCAAATAATTATGTTTCTGTAACTCATAAAACGTCGACGATGAATTCATCCAAAAAATATGATCCAGTCGACCGACCAGCTATAGTCGTTATATATCCGCTTAACCAGCTTTAGTCGTTCGTATTTATTGGAAGATTTTCTTTGTTTCTAGCTTGTCAAAGGAATTACATTCAAAGTCAAGTGATGATATTTAACCTTTTTCGTTGTCAATATGATTGTATCGCACATAATGCACACATCGACCAAGGAACTTGGTATCATATTGTCGTCCGAGTCAGTCATCAAAAACAAGAATTATGGATAAATGGAGAATTGAGTGGAGTGAAAGAAATGATAAATCCACGTGGAGGAACCGTCATTTTTAGATCGCCAAATGAAGGAACATGTTCACAACTAAAAATGTCAATGCCCAATGTATTAACGATAGGTGCAAAAAATAAATTGTACGAAGATTCTTGGTATGGCGGACGTTTAGCTGATATTTCCATCTGGAATTGTTGGTTGGAAACGAAGGAAATCCGCGCAATCTCTCAACAAAAATGTTCAGTTGGCCAAATGAAAATAGGAACTTATTTATTTTTAAATCTATGTAACACGTCATTGATGTCGTAAATAAGCGATAGAGTTAATACGACACTAGACGAAAAAGCAAGGAGACAATTCTTTCCGTGATTTTAACACGGTTTTTTAACATGTAAGTAAAAAAACTTAATTTGTTAATACACTTTACTCACGAGGGAACCTCTTGAGGTTATAAATCGCTTTTGAACTCGGACTACTTGTATCTTGTAGACCTCAGTGAGTAGTGAAATACCCTAAGTTGGCTCGTCCCCATGGTGCTTTGTTGCTGAGATATTGAATTTTTAGTCAGTTTTTGCCCATAGAGCTTGGATTTCGAGCAAAATCCGGCTTTCGAATTTTGACTTGAAACTTGCCACACTGGTAGTCCATGGTCATAGTAGTACGATGGGAAAAAATTCGATCCTAATGAATTTTCTTGCCTTGAGATATTGAGACTAGAATATTTCACCTGAAGGTGAGGGTCAGGTGTTCGAGTCTCAATATTTCAAGACAGGAAAATTCATTAGAATCGAATTTTTTCCCGTCGTACTACTATGACCATGGGCTACCAGTGTGGCAAGTTTCAAGTCAAAATTCGAAAGCCGGATTTTGCTCGAAATCCAAGCTCTATAGGCAAAAACTGACTAAAAATTCAATATCTCAGCAACAAAGCACCATGGGGACGAGCCAACTTAGGGTATTTCACTACTCACTGAGGTCT